AAGTGATTAAGCTGGCTTCCTATGTAACAGCAACGCATTTCATGGAGCTTAATTGTGCAAAAGCGTCATTACACAGATAGTTGAAGTGGATTAGTAAAAATTACTTGGATTAGGCGATGTACCACAGAAAGAGCATTTCATTCCTCAAGCACTCCCAGGTAAAAAAATTTGTTTAAAAGCGGGCAACTGCTTAGAAATGCAGCATGATTCAATCAAAAGAGTCTCTTACCCAAAGTCAGTCTTCTTTTCCGTTTCAATCCACATTTATAGGGGTAGTTGGAACTTCTTCCTAAGCTATTCAGCTTTGAGAGGCACTTTACAATCCTGCCGTTCACTCAATTATACAGTTTTGATACGGGAGGCAGTACTTTTAATACGCTCTTCATAAAACTTTTAAAACCGCGTCCTGCTTTACTTTAAAGCCAAGAAAAAGTAGAACTGCCTTTTGAGTTGCCACGACATCAAATATCTATAGCAGAGGCCTTTACTCTTGACGGTAAGGAGGACAGTCATTCAGACTCAGACTTTTGAAGAATGAGGAGGATACTCTATGTGTTAGTACAGCAATCCTTAAGCAGATGAGTTCACTTAGATGGAACTAGATTTGCCCAAAATGGCCTCTCCAAGCACCATTGTTCTTACAGAAGGGGATATCTCTCAAGCACACCTGAGGATGTGCGCACAGAGTAGTTGCAAGCAGGCGACTGAGGTGGCACTGACAGACGGTTGGCAGTATCACCGGCACCACTGTAATCGCCGAAGATGTCACAAATGTCTTGGATTATTTACTGTTTTATCATCCACTTATGTCACCACACCATCTTCGAATTTGTTCTCGTTTTCGTAATATACAGTGAGTGGAGTTACCTCCGTCTGTCCAAATCGTCCATATCCCGACTACTGGAATGGTGGTCAAATGTTGAGCCGTGGTATTACCCACTGTTGCATGGGTCCATAAATAAATGGTAGTTTTTCTATTCATGTGAGAAGGTGCGATTGGAGACGTGGCGGCCGTACGCCTCCCTTAAAGATACACGCCTGCGCGATGTTGAGTGCGATACTGCGGCAGGTAAAGAGGCGGAGATGGCGAAGATCGTTGGCAAGAGAATAAGGGTGCCATTGTCGCGTTGTGCCAACTTTAGAGATTCCTCCACTGCATTTGTCGCATCGCACTTCCCACCTGCAGGGAAAAAAAGCGGTTGTAGTAAATTAAAAATGAATATTAATGGAGTACGTAGGCAGTCAATGAAAGAGAGAGCCGAATAGATGGAAAATCCCGCAATGAGGCAACAATTAGAAGCCAAAGATAAGTGCCGATTATTGCCCAGATAAAAGCGTTTGAAAAGTAAGCATCATAGAATGGTTGACACTGAAAAGCTAATTTCGGTAAATAGGTTGGCTGCTCATTCACAGTCGACAATCTTACTATGGGCAAGCCGAATATAAGGTTTTTAATTCCTATCGCTAAAAGGCTGCGACCGCACCGACGTTAAGAGTACTTTGGGTCGGTCACACCAGTTCACTCACTACCAAATTTGTAGCAGTAAACTCATGAAGTCCAATAGCAATGCCAAATACACATGGTCTATATGGGGCGTGCTTGTTCACAATCTTGGTCTAGGAGGATTTGAGAGATTATTCCGAATTACCATAGCACTGGATTCATGGCTAAAGACCGCATAGCTGACTTATAAGACTAACCACGAAGGACTTGACTTGTGAAATTGAGTCGGCAAGATGACAATTCTTTACGCTTTTGCAATCGCTGATCCTGTGCACCAAATTTGGCCCACGTTCCAAAGGGACCGCTTGCTCCCGGTACGGTAGACCTGCTTTAGGTGTGTGGTCGGCTTGTCAGCCAGTGGTTGATTAAACAATTGGTGCATTCCACTACTTTTTTCTCTGCTACAAAATAAAGCCTCATTTCTGGTCAAATTTGACTGATGAAAACTACTTAACGTATTTGATTCCCCGATAAGAGGCCCCATGATCCTCTAACGCATAAAATTTTTCACGTGATAAGTTCTTCCATCTTAACTGAGGCGACACTTTGTTCCCATCGCCCACGATATTTTTAATCAGATTTCTTCCACTTTACTCCCTTCTCCATTCCTTTCTTTTTTCTATCTAAATCATTCTTTACATTATTGAAACAACCATTTTCTATTTCACTCGCTCTAGCCATTTAGCTCCACTTTCACTCCCGAAAGAGTGGAACGTGAGAGTTGAAGCCTTGACGAGGAGGTGCCAGTAATCAACCGACCAACAAATAAGTAAGCTGGAAAGGGATATACTCCCTGGCTTAAAATGGGGCTAAATAACTGATCGGTTAGAAGGGTTATGGAGCGAGGAGGAGATGAATGGCTACGCACATCCAGTTCAGTATACTTTGACCACCGACTAATGACGAACAAGGGAAGCATGCATTCCTTCCAATTCCTATGGTGCGCCAGTTGATCTGATAGTTGAAAAGGCAGAATATTGACCCAATCAATGAGACAGGCAAATGGAATATTGAGGTCCAATGCATATTCGCTAGAGTGGTGGATCAGGTACATCGA